TCAAAATCCAATTTTCCAATTTCGATGAATTATACGCTACCATGGGTTTTTACGTTGCTCATTTCGTTTCGCGTTAATTACGATTATCGCAAATGACCGGGCTTCAATCAGAACATCGGACACAGTGTACACACGCGCAAATTGTAATGTCATTCTGTGCGCGAGGCGCGTGTGCGTAGCCTACGTATATAGCGTAATGGAATACTTAAATATTTAACCGACAAATGCCAACCCGATTGCGCGTTCCCTTACTTAATTATGCCATTAATCCGACGCTTTTATAAAATATTTCTCCTCTCTCGCGAAAATTGGCGCAAGTGACGCGAAACGGTCGCTGCTACGCACCTGTCACTTCGACGGATACCGTAGTTCATCGTCGATATATACATTTATATGCATATATATGTACAGAACGGGACCAAAATATACACTGCAGATACAACTAATCTGCGTGGCATTTGCAATTCTCGCAGACACGCTTGAATTGCGAATGGAATGTGTCCACTTTCGCCGGTAAACTTAAATATTACACGTTGTTTGCCAACGATAATCACAAGCAATTGCGAAACAACACCCGGCGAGCAATTTACGTTGAGGTTTCATATTCCAGGACTGTCTGTTACTGGCAACGCGTTTTATACAGACACCTCATGCACCTTAATTAAAAACGCCCTAGTAAAATTGCGTACTCCTGGCACCTTCCCTCAAACATACTGCGCCTCTATTATATTTCATCGTTATCGAGCGACCAATTGAAATAACTTATCAAATGTGTTTCCTTAAAAATGAGCTATTGACGCAGACATTTTACCAACATTATGAAAATAATTAAAAACTGGGAAATCTGTTGTGAAATCGAAAATCAATATATGTATCGATAAAATTCATTTTAATGAGTATTATTTTTCCTTTAATTGGTGTTTCAAATTCGAGATACGCTCGGAAATTATTATTAATAAACGCGGTATTCCAAACTTCCAGATATCGTATTACGATAGTTATGCGCGGGATTTTCATAGTTACGATCTCCCGGCGCGAGTTCGCGCGACACAGATATACGAATATTCGATATTCAATTTAGACACGTCGTTGTAGGATCGTATATACAATACCGTGAGATAGAAATCCACGATCGCGATTAATAATTTACGATTGCGCGGTAAACATCGCGAGCGTAACCGCTGGCGTCTTCATTAAAACTCGCTAGTCTAGTGCCTCGCGAGGAGAGACATAGATCGACGCTCTGCACGGCGCGTGCGATTGCAACAGTCGGGACGTACCGCTTCTCATATACGTTTGATATATCACTTTTGTCCCTAATTTCGACAATGGCGCCTGCAATAACGATGACTAACGACTCTCGCAGCGTCTCGTCGAACAAAGAATGCGACAGTATAAATTATAAGCGGTTAATGTTAATTTCGTATGGCGCGCATCCCTCTTTGTTCGCGCGCGCATTATGTGCGCATTGTCCATGTAATTATCTCGCAGGCACATATAACAGTATCGCGCGCGAACACCGTGGCTTCAACTTCACCACGGTGTCCATCCATTATTGCGGTGTTAACTCGATGGGCGAATGCCAAGCGCGTCTTCTCAAATGCACGCACATCAGATAGATCAAAAGGCCGTGGTATTGTATCTTGAATCGACCCGCAAACCTAGAACTTTAGAACTGAAATGGCAAACGGTAAGGGGATACGTTCTCTACATGTTCTCTCTCTCTCTCTCCCTATCGCGCGCGCGCGATTCATCTCGCGTGTCCCCTTTATTTCGATTTACGCCGTTGGTTAATTAATGTGAATTTCATCCAGTTTCAAGCGGTTCTCGTCGAACTTTATCACTTAAATTTTTCTACGTAAATTAAATCTCCAGCGCGGGCCAAACAGAAATTGTGCGAAAATTAAAGGACAGAAAATTAAAATATATATGATAAAAAAAACGCACATAAATAATAATACAATTGTAATACTTTCTGAGAAGAAAACTATTATATTTTATGTATAAAGTCAATTCTTAACGGCGAAACCGCCAAGAGATCGCATTTCTACCGTTCTACCAAGAAAATAGGTTCTGACTTGTCACTTTTGCGTCCTCAGGACGCTGTCTGTATACATTAAGAATATTACTTGTTCTTAATGTTTTTTTTTGCTCGTCTGAATATATGCATTTTTTAATTTCGCAGCGGCTCTAAGAGTAACAAGATCGCGAAGTGCATTTACGGTACGGATATCTTCTTGAAAAATTAGAAACGTAAGAAAACGTGAGTTCCTTTTTTCACACGAAGGAACGGAATACAGAATATTTAAAATGCGTAACGGACACTCGGTGCGGGGCGAAATCCAAGTAAGAAATCCCGTTACCCGAGAAACGAAATCTCTTATCTTGTGCAGCAAGCAACGTAAATTAAATCTCCAGCAACGCAATTTATTTACGTAAAACCGATCGCGCGGCGTCGCGGCGGTGTACGTTTGCTTTAATAAACCTTTTCACGATTCGATTGACAGCTCTTTCAAAACAAACGGCTTAAACGTTGCAGGTTAGAACAATATTGTTTTTTATCCGCATACAGAGAATCCCCGCGGATGTAGGATGTAATCCACTACGCGAGGTGCACCGAGGGGTACGTTTTTGTTCGTACCTCGTATCATCCGCGATAACGCTGGTCGGCACCGCTGTCGCTTTGCGAGAAAATTATTAATTGCGACGTCTCGTCAATGCATGACAGAGCGACAGAGACGACGTCGTAAAATGCTGTTGTCGCAATGGGTTACGGGGGTCGGGCGCGCGCCGCGCGGACGATTTTATGGGGAAAAATTCAGGCGCAGCGGTGCCGCGCGATACGGGATGGGTGCGACGCACACATGCACATACATTCGCGCATTATTATTTCGAACGCGACAAACGAGCGAATTTACGACTATGGCGCGCATCCTGAAAATCCACCCTCTCTCCGTCACTCTAACGTCCTCTCACTTTTTACGACACTTGTTTACGGGTGCGCACTTAAAACTACGATGATTTAGCGCCCATGTTGTTCGATTGTTGCGGAAGCGTCGAACAGAATTTGAGAATCGCCATCGACGCGGATTGCTTATACTCTCCGCTCGCGGTCGCGCTGAAGCTAAATTATTGCCGCCGCCATGCGAAGTAATAAAAACCGACGGGGTCAGATAGACGCGCGCGCGCGTGCGCCAGCTGTGAAACATTACGTCGGAGAAATTGGGACAGACCAATTCTGCTACTTTAATTAACATTCGTCATTACGTTCGTCGCAGTCGGATGTAAATATATGAGCCCAACTAAAATTCATAACTCAAAAGCTGATATTTTTTTCAATCGTATTTTCAACGAATAAATTTTTTCTATTTTATTGCATTTCTATCTTCAGCTTAAACTGAATTGTTTATATTCACCATCGACGCACGAAAAAGTGAATAATGGGAAATTTTGCACAAAAATCTTTCCTCTAATCCTTTAGAGAGAATATTAGAATTATGAAATACAATAAAAAATATTTGACAAAAATATATAAAACTTTCCTTTTATATTGCATATATGTATATTTATGATTATGAAATTATAATTGCAAAAAATTTTTATATTAAATAGTTTTTATTTTTATTATATAAATTAAGGATTAAAACTCTTATAAAATTGTTTTTCTGTTTATTTTTTATATTGCAAAAAGCCGATCATGCCTATACAGATATTGTGAGAAGAATTGACTTTTCTTTTGTCTATATGCCAGTTATTCAATCTCTCGATCAACTGGTCAAAAAGCCGCGGGGCTCTCGTAAAACCGCCAATATATTCGATAAGGGCATCTGGGGAAAGTTCTCACTTGCAGACGTTAGCGCTCGCTGCAAATCGCGATTGATTTTACGGACTCGGGGCGCTAAACGGATTAACGTCGGGCGAAATCATATTTGCCCGTTGTTCCTCGAGCGTGTCCACGTACTGACCTAGATCGATTCTAATCTGATGGTCGCGCCCCGTCCGACCTGGGAGCTTACGTACGAAATTGTTCCCGTTGGCAACCAGGAACCGGGCCGGTCGGCCTGGCTGGCGCTTCTTCGATGATGGCCGTCCGCAGGCTGCGGAATATATCCGCTTAAGTGCCACTAAGTATGGTAAGATATGAGGAATGGCCGGCGTTATGTATTCATCGACCGCGCGCGTCGCGCGCACCTGAATGCCCGACGCGTCCCTATCGGGACGCGGCAGGGAGACGCATTTACGCAGTTACTCAGGGCGCTGTTTATCGACACTGGCTCCGGTTCCCGGGGATGCAAATGACTCCCGTACATCACGTCGATAGTACACATCCGCCAGACAAAGGATTGAGGTACTTACCCGTCGGCGAAACGGACCCCTGGCTCGGCGACGGCGCGACGAAGACGTGGACCGTCGTTGTCTCTATCGGGAGAGATGCCTCTTCTTCTCCTCCTCTCCTTCTCACGCGCTGAGTACCGATTGCTAGGAATTCGCTGCGTGATTCGGGAACTGCGGGAAGAGGAAACGGATAACTGGAATGGAGGATAGAATTGAAATAAGCTGGGTGTTTTTCGGAATGGTGGCGTACTTTCGCGGCACGGAGATACATGCGCCGCAGAATATAGCCGTTATTTTTCACTACTGAAAAATAATCGCGATATCAGCGGAATATCGGTAAGTGAATAAAGCATGTCGAAATGAAACATTTTACATCTTTAGTTTCTGAATGCGACAGAGAGAGAAAGAATATCTTCAAGATTGATAAAAATTTATCAATTCCCGTTTTATGCACGCAGAGCGATCTGGACCTCAAAATGAACTCAATATATTTGATCGTTTAATTAAAAATGTGACCGTTGTCGAAACGGAAATATTATGCAAATAAACGACCCAGTTTTTCGTGTGCGGATTTTTAAATAGGGAAAAAAATGGATGCGTCGCAGACGGCCGCAGTGGCAGTGGCTCGTAGAATGAGAATCCTCCGTATGCGTGTCTCTCACAAATAATCCGTTATTTCTTCTCCTTTAATTGTCTTTAGGAATTCTGGTACAATTGGATTCAACATAAACGATAAATCGTTACTGCTCCTTTATATATACATTAATGGTACGTTCGATAGTTTAACATCCTTCGAGTAGTGTGTCGCTAAGAGCGTATCTCGCTGATCGCTCGTGTGCTAACAAGTAATTGATCTCGTACAATCGGGTTCAACTTATTCGCTACCGGTTCGCTTCTCGCTCTTCTTCTGCGACTCGGACGCGCGCGAGCCAATTAATCGCGCCCGCGTCCGAGTCCCGTGTTTTTTTTTTTTTTTTATATCTTTCCGGAATATACAGAAGCAGGATTTTAGCGGCACCCGCCTGTGCGCAAAAGCCATTTACAAGTACTAACGAGGACAGATCTCGTTCAGCGTATAAAAAAGCATGTCGGAGGGAACAGGGGGTAGAAGTTGTGTGTGTGTGTGTGTGTGTGTGTATGTGTATGTGTGTGTGTGTGTGTGTGTGATGGGATGAGAAGGGAGAGGAAAAGAGGGAGGTTGCGGTGATTTTGCGGAACTCATTCTCTCGTGCCCGACGACCGAATTCGGCGGAACGACCGTCCGCTCGTCGGGAACGCGTCTCGTCGGGAAACTCCTCTCCAGGAACATACAACCACGTCGCGCATTCTCTTCTCGTCCGTAACGGAGGACCACCTCGGTCGCCGGCAGATATTAGACTCAGGGGTGCGCAAAATTTCATCGCGCTCCGCGCCGGGGATCGTTCGATCCCACCACTACCTCAGCGAAATTCCTGGTATTACCTCTCGGCGCTCCACCTTTTTACCCTTGTAATTTAGTTTTGAAAGTAAAGTTACTCCTCGCGGCGGCGGAGGGATTAATATTTAATATGCTCGCACTTTGGTGCTTTTCGCGTGCTTGCTTCTATTGAAAGGAGAGGTGTGAGACGCACGGGCGAAAGGGCGAAGGGTCTTCGTGCTTTGCGCACCCCTGGTGTTCATCACGGGCGAACTGTAACAATAACGCGATCGGAAATCCTTCTTATTTACAAGGCTGCGTGCCGCGTCTTCGCTAACCTTTTTTTCTTTTTTCTCGAAAGTCGTTTCCTAATTTTTCTCTGATGGCTGATTCGCTCGATGATGTAGATAATCCGTCTATTCTGATACTGTACCAATTGATTCTGCTCAGCACGATGATCATGGCGATCAAATATTGTACTGCTGCGATGTAACGTTTTCTTTCTCTTTTACTCGGAGATTCTCATTCATCCGCTTATTATACTTTTAGCAGGAAAATTCACTCGCTAAAGTTCCAAAAAATGTCCAAAATTTTTTTTCGGCAGGCCATGATTATCAATACTCATTGATGACAAAAGTCTCGCGTAACGATTGCGTTTTAGATGATTCGAAGCACTCGATCGATCTAAGAGTGTGAATTAGTAAAGAATTACATCGTGGTTCTTAATCATGCCGAAGAGAGTTACAGCGATCGTTTATCGTTTACATTCAAGAAGGTATGTACAGTACGGCTATTCGTGGGTCGATCGTGGCGTTGATAATGCGTATCCAAGGCGAGGATATAATCGAATCCTTAAGGCGATATTCGGCACTGCTTTCACTCGACGGAAAGATAGAGCGGTGACCATCGCAGGAATTTCCATCTATTTTTTACTGTTTCACTCCTACGTTTACATGTTGCCCGTTTTAATTTGTGTAATATTTAAAATACAATATAAGAAATAGTATGAATTTGAAAATAAATGAATAACATAAATGTAAAAAAAAATATTAAAAAAAATATAATCGAATTATCTTAAAAACTGACTAATATCAAATTGTCATAAGAATAGATTATTCTTCCAATCTGATTTTTCAGCAAATGCAAATACGAAATGTATAACGTAACATGTGCATCGCATATTTTTAACCATTTACAGAGCAATGCAACGAAGAAATCTAGATAAATAATCAATCATCCGAACGCCTTCTTCGCGAATACATCTTTCCACAATCATTTGTAACTCTGTCTTTCTCGCGGCTGAATATTTGTTTAGCACCGCCGTGTACATCCCTTGAAAGTACGCCATAAATGCATTGTTACGACGGCGAACAACGTCGTTTCCACGTCGTGCGCCGCAGTCGTACGCCTGCATGTATACGCGCCACGGACTTCTGTCGGTTGCGACACGACCGACCCACTCGCGATCGGAGATCTATGGAGACGTATACACGGATAGACCAGTACGATACGATTCTTTAATCACTTAAAGCTTAACGGTATCTTAGCGAGCGCGAGTCCGCCGCGCATTGTGAGTGCCTCACGCGTGTTTTCCCTCGGCGCATCCCGCGCTCTGCTCCATCCGTCGTCGTCGGAACACCATAACAATATTCACGGTTCTCACGTAGCGTTTTCTCCGCATTCACGTCAATCTGTCCGCTCTCGGCAATGCTGCCGCTCGACGTGCCAGCTCCACGTGCAGGATCTTCCAGTTTTGACGCGATGATAATCGCGTGCCGGATGATGCGCACCCGGACGTGGGGGTAATTATGAGATACGAATCGCGAGGCAGATCGGTGATGATGGCGAATTGAAATATTCAGAGGCTTCAAACGCAGATTTCGGATATCCTGGGTCGACATCAGCGACTCCAAAGTCCGAGCCTTTCTATCGAAATCGGACGAAATCCCCTCAAGGGTGCTTAGCACGCGCGTCGAATTAATCCGTGTATCCGCGGTATCGCGTGCCGCCGCCGCGAGCTTCCGTTTTCCCCGGGATAAACTTTCTGTCACTTTCCGCGAGACCGATATATTTCCCGGGGTCGACGCCGCTCGGATGCCGCAACTGAACGCCGCCGGGTGGAACTTTATTCGAAGAACATTCCGAGCGCGTCAGCTGGTCGCGTTAACTGCGACCGCACAAGCCGACCGTCGACGTGATATAATCTCGATCATCTCGGATGGGAATGCAATTAATTTGATATACATTTGATGTATGCGGAATGCGACAGATTAAACGATCAAACTCGACGTCCTCAATCAGTAAAATGAAAAAAAAAAGAGAGTATTATTCGCGCAAATGTGTCTGCATAAAAGTAAAATCGAAAATGAAACCGAGCAGCCTTGGTTTTTAGCTGTGAGAGAAATTAATATTTTTAATTAAACACGCAGATATTCAGCGCGCGCCGCCTTAGCACACAATAGCGCGAAAATATATCAGCTCAATCCCCCGTATCGACCACGCCGATATTTCCCTCCCGCGAACGACGGTACGTCGAGCTTAGTTATATAACTTATCGAGTCTATCATACACGCACACGGATACGGCGACGGTCTCGTGGTCCGTAGCGAGGATCGACGACCCTCAGGCTCGTAAATTCGGGCGTCCTGAGATGCAAATGGGAAACCGCCGCGCCGGGGCGAAACTGCGGGCGTCCTCCCCTTGCCAAGCTCTACGAATTCCGCATGGCCCGGGCCGCATAATTCAGAGATACTTCAGTGGCTTTTTCGTCTCTCGCGCGAAAGGCGAAAATCGATTATTGTCGTAGCCGATTCCGTCAGCGTATAGTGCCGTAGTAAGCGGCGAGCGCGTTTGAGAGAAATATTTATTCGGCGAAACTTCTTCGCGCGTGAAAGAATCAACTCGAGAGAGCCGCTTGTAAGAATCCCCACGGCGAGAAAAGTTGCGGCGGTCTTTATAAGTAGATAAAGAGAGCGATGCACAATTTACAATAACAAATTTACATTATAACGTTTTTCTCACCTGCACGATTTATGTTTCTCGCCCGCGTTGTATCCCTCGATGTGGGGATAAAAATTAGTCAGATACTTTATGTCTTTCCAAAGATATAAAATGATTATTCTGCACATTGAGAGAGATATGTAGATCGAATTTAAAATATCATATCTTAAACTCGGCGTCTCAGTGTTCTAATAGCAAAGATAACATTCTCTAATATAAAATATGAGATTGCGTACATACATATACAATGTGCGCGCATCCGCGATTGAAAAGAAATTGCATTCGAAAGCTGGAGGTGACGCAAAGTTTTACAGGCAGGTCGGAGTGCACATCCGGGCTTACGAGACGCTCGTATGACGCGGCGGCGGCATATGTATAGATACACATCTCGAAAGTTTGCGCGACTGCGGGGGGGATAAGTCCGACGAACCCCAAAAATATTTGTTCTCTCCTCGCGGAAGAAGCAATACCGCATCCGGCGACCAGAAATTGAGTGGAATTCCACGGCGGCGGTTTTGCGTGGCGTATCTGGGTCGCCCGGTTAGTCCGACCGGACACATGAAAACACACGGTTGGTTCTTACCTCTTGAAATCCGCGACAGTCAGCTGCGCTCGCCGCCGATAGATCTTGCACGTCTACGCGATCACCGGGGAAAAGGAAATGCTAATTCCACCGTCGCATGCGCGTGAACGTCGACGTAAGAGAAATCATTCGTCCCCGTCAAAGCGCATTGGAACCCTTCCGTTCGTCCTAACGGAACGTTCACTCTCGTCCTTCGCGGAATGTTCTCTCTCGTCGCCCGAGGAGATCCTCGCCCCGTCGTCTAGTCTACACATCCTCCGAATTCGCACGTCGTCTCGGATTTACACGTTGTTATTTTCGATCGTTGTAGCGTGAGTGTCTCGTCACGACGGCAACGACACACACGGACACGATGGTTGTTTTAAGGAAAAATCGAGCCGGACACTGGCCTCGGTTGGTTTCGTCATCGTGGAGGAGCGAGAGTAAAGCCAGTGAAGCTCTTTGTTACAAGCGGTCGCTGGTGTGCGCACACATCGTCCTCTCTCCTCCATCTCTCCGCGCACTTTTCCACCCCCGGTGAGCCGATTGTTGCGCAATACGGAAAGAAGATCTGAAGAAATCTGCTGATTTATAAAGTCTGGCAGGTGACGGTTAGCACGGAGTGGTTAGTGGTGCTTCTCGCCTCGTCTCCTCCATGCACCCTCCTGGGTGGTCTCTCCTCCCTCGCCACGTCGTCGCCCCTCTCTCTCCTCCCGATCTCGCTTGGGTGAAACTATCGGCCGTTACTCTCTTACTGCAGCGCCTCGTGATCGACCAGTCACCTCGCGAAGGAGCCGGCGTGCAGGAGCAACAGGAGTAACGCGAGCGTCCTCGTGGCCGCGCCGCTGTTGCTGGAGTTTCCGTGCTGCATGGCCGCCGGATGCTCCCCTGAAACCCAAGAAAGCCGCATACACATAAATTATTTTGCAGACGGGGACTAGGCGGTCAGGGATGCGGCGAATGGAAAATTTACATCACCGCCTGCGCTTCCCGTTTTCTCTCTCACTCCATCCCTCCCTCCTTCCCCCTTTTCCCCTCTTTCACCGTTTTGCCTTCTCGAGAAACTTGTGTGCATGAGAAATATACGGCATGGATTCTGGAACCACCGGTCTTCATTTTAGTCATAGATTCTCTGACGAATTTGAAACTCGTCTTTGCAACGTTAGATATGTATTACGACGGCAATAAAAAAATACGAGAAAAAATATAGATACGAGATTAATTAAATAACGGGCCAATTTAATTGCTAATAAATTTAATCGCAATTGTGCAATACGTATTCATATTACATGCCGAAAGCAGTTTAGAATAGTCTGTATATATGTGCGTATAATAATCAAAGCAATACTCTCACATTTATTAGAATAATCATGAATAATTAATCGTAATTGTAAAATTAGAAGCGCATTAGATTGCACATTAATTATTGCGGACAATAAATATTTGAGGATGACAGGATCACGAACAACAAATATGGAATATTTCGTTTCGTGTGCTGGTTTTCAGATTGATTGCGATTCGTAACGAGCGAGACGATAACGACTGATCAATTTAAATACCTAAAATTCGTGTTCGGTATAATTCGCCTGTTACATCGATTTCAGAGTAAACTCATCATTCGTGAAATAATTAAGGAGCCGTAATCACATTTTAACCGTCCGACTTAAGACGTCCGACTTAAGATAAATAAAATGTGAATAACGACAGTGTGTGCGGTGAAAAAGTAACTAAGAAGAAAGGAAAAAAACTGGTACTTTTATCGAATGATCGTGTGCGCTTTAGCAAATATATAAGGCTCAAAATGTTCGCTTACACAGGATGACGGAGAGTCGGATCGTCGCCGTCGCCGTCGTCGTGTGTATCGATTTCAGATAAATCAAATATTTAAGCGGACATTACGTTAGATATTGCAATAGCGCGCTACTGTTTGTCCCCGATCCCGGTTCGCAACAAACGGCGAGATTCCGGCGGAGAGAAACTGAGATTCCGTCCAAATGTTGACGCCGGCGGCGCTTCCGCGTCGCGCGTTTCTCAAGAGTTTGCCGTAACCGGGGCGCATTGATATGGGCTTGTTGGTGCGCATTCAATATAACGGCGCAAACGCGACGCGTAAACGTAAGAGCAGAGTGTGCGCGCGCGTTACACGACAACGTTAGAACTAACTTCCCAATCTCTCGCCGGGGAGAGGTATGGATACCTGCGGGGATCCTTGGAGAACCTTAAGCGGGAGGAAACCCTCAGGTGCCGTATCGGTAATCACTTACCGGTGGCTCGAAGTTGCCGTCGAACTACAAGGGGTTCTTCTATCGGGTAGTAGTTCTTACGCGGGCACGTAAGTGCCTTATTCGCGCACAATACTGAAGTTATTATTAATGCAACATGTTGTACCGCGTGAAAGTTCATTATCACGGCGTACGTTTCGAAGTATGCGGGGGATACTTAAGTGCGTTATTTATGCAGTTTCTTAGTAATATTAAATTGCAAGAGTCTCCGGGCTTCTCTCCCTATTGCACGCAAGAGCGACCGGTTACGTCGCCGCGATGAGTTTCCTTACTAAGATTTGCACTAATGAGATTGAAGCCTATTTAATAAAAGCTATATACATATATATTTCGTGTCCCGACCGTTTCGAGAGGAAGATTCGTAATAGAATGTAATCGAAGTAATTAGATAATTATAATAAAAATATTCTCCTAGTCTATTTTCTTCCCATTTATTTAACTCACGTGATGCAGGTATATACATATACATATTCGGAAATAAAAAATATATATATATCATGCATTTTCTAATTTTTCACGATCGGCAATAACATGAATAAGAAACCACTGACGAATTCTCATACACCGTGTATGAAGCAACAGCGTGTTTTCCCCTTGAACAAATTCCCCGGGAGAAATTTGTAACCGTCTATGTGTGCAACAGCTCGTTCGACGCTGATCGAGCTCGAGGGGGCACGCCGAAACTTGACCGGAGATTGATGCAGAAACATCGCGCCGGTAAGGATCAACGAAAAGTAAGGATCAAACGGCGTTCGCACTCAAGCTCGAAGGGGTCGAATTTCTTTCACTTTTCCCTTTCCCTCCCTACAGCACACCTACACTACCTGTCTGTCTCTCCTACGCGCATCCATCCAAGGGGGAAGGATTTCTGCTCCAGAACGTATTTTTTTCCCCCCTTCGCCGACGTCCGTCTGGAGCGCGAGCTAATTTACGACTCGCAATTCGACGAACGACCGCGCGGCCGCAAGAAACGCTCATTTTTCAGCGAAAACGAGCATCAGCGTCTTGGGGAAAAAAGAAAGTGAGTGGGAGAGAGTGAGAGAGAGAGAGAGAGAGAGGAAAAAGGGAGAGAGGAAAGAGAAAGCGACTCGCGAAACGACGGCTCGCGGAAGTAAATCGACAGCGAGCACGAGAGGGGATAAAATTGCCTGGGGGGGCTTTTCGATGGAAGATGACATCGACGACATACACTCCACACTTTTACGAGATACTGATAATGCAGCGAGACGTGGCGCTGAGTGCTTGCATAAGTTTAAAATGCGCAGTGTGCGTCGTTGTGGCGATGTTTAGGATTTTAATTTATTATACGAGAAAAAAAGATAGAAAGAGAGAGATACAGAGAGAGAGAGAGAGAAAATATGTGTATGGAATCCTCCAATCCTTCTCCTTTTACTGTTCTAGTATATATCTACTTTTCAGATTTTTTATCGAAATTTTTAAAAGCGTCACAATAAATAGCATTAAATGTAATATAAATAATATCACAAAATAATTCAATTGCATTAAAAATGATAATAACTGCTGTAACAATTCGCAAAAATAATTGGTGTAATAATCTTCTTAGAATTCTATTTGCTCACTATAATTGCGATAGATACAAAATATTAGATAAGTTCACAATTACATGAACCAGATACAATAATGTCTGCAAAACGATGAAAATGTTAGAATTAAAAAATAATTGTAAATGAAAATGCCTAGACACACAGTTACTGCAATAACTGTCGCAATAATTTTCATTAACGCCACCGAAAACAGATAATAATTACCAATAATATTGTTGAAAAATATCAATTTATATATTTGTTTAATATCGCAATTACGTAATTGTGTTCAATTAGCTATTTAACGTTAATGAATCGTCTTGAATCCGCGCAGTCATAGATTGGAAGAGCGAGGTGAGAGAGGCTTTACTTTTAACGAAAAGTGCGCCGTGTTATTGGAAGGAACTCGGTGAAGGGCGACCTCCTTAAAGTGCAAAAACAAGACAGCCTATTACCTTTATTCATAAGGCATTAAACTGTCTCGCATAAAACGCATGTGGAACACTGCCTGTAGCCCATATATATCGCGATTCATTATTTTCTAATGCTTATAATCTGCGCATACAAACAGAAGAAAGGAACGAAAAGTAAATTGTTAGTCTGAGTGCGCCGGATATTATTTGCAATCTGTACACTGCAATTTTGCACCACCATGAATATGCTAAAGGCACGTTTTAACATTATTAACAAAGTTGATCGATGCAACGCAATATATCTCGCAGTCGTGACACCAATAAACAAATAAATAAACAATGGCAGAAATTGACGATAAATACGTTTTGAAATTAAATAAAACTCTCAAATGCAACGATATGCGGGAATAACAAAATGATAAATTTGCAGTGATGGTATTCTTGAAAACAGCGTTTTTGCTAGCGGGATATGAACAATACGAATTATTCAAATGAGCAGTGTGCGAATTTCGAGCTTAGCGTCGCGAAAGAATCCATTAGGATCATTACCGATGCACTCCATAAGAGACGTGTCACAATTGTTTGGAAAAACAAACGTGTCCCGATAGGCAAACTATGAAAAGATTGTATTATAATTAATTGTATTATGAATTGATGGAAATTTCGTAATAATTAAGACGATTCGTACAACAGTTTTGACGAAATAAAATTCTTAAATAATATTTGACAAAAATTAAACAAATTTAGATATAATTGAAATATAAAATAAATTCTCAATGAGATAATATGAAAAGCGAGATTTTCGTTAAAGCGCGGCTATCTGTAACACGTCTATGTCTCGACCGGGGGCATCGAAAGTCTCGTGTTGTTGGACGTCTGGCCGCCCCGCTATTTGAGGGCCCTGTCTCTTGGAGGGGGCGAGAGGCCCTTGGAAAAACGAGATGGGAAAGGGGGGAGGAGAAGAGGGGAAAACAAGTGGGGGGGTGCGTATGAGAGAAGGGGAAGAACAGCACAAGCTAAGAAAAGCACAGATGATTGGCTAGGACAAGATGCATTTAAGAAGTTACAGTGTGAGAGGGGTGAGGTGCAGTGGGAAAGAGGGAGGCTCTCTTGGAGGGGACGACAGTATATAAAGGGCGACTCAAGCCATTTTCGCTTTGTAATATTATGATAAGCGGCGACGAAGAACACGTCGCTTATAATAATGTTACCTTGGGAGTAACTATGATTTTCACGGAAGTGAAACTCTCGTGGGTCCTTGATCTCTTTGAGTTTCTTTGGGCCTGGGGTCGGGTACGGATAAATTTAGCATAAAATAGTTTTTAATTTCTCTCTCTATTCAGAGAAGAAATATAGTTTCACAAAAATAATGATGATGGTGGAGAAAAATATTTTGAGAAATATTAAGTTTTTAGAAAACTTAATTATACAGTTATGTAAAGTACATAACAAATTATCAAAGTTTTAAAACGTATTTTCTATTTCTAATAAATAATTACTTAATCAAATATAAGTATTAACTTTGAGTATTTATTTCACTCCTTAAAGCTCAAAATAATCACTTATAAAAAAACACATGTTGCTTAAATTTTTCAGTTTAAGTTAATATATTTCAAGGAGAATCAAAGTTGTCTGTTGGTTCCAGATAG